GATATTCGTGGTGATATGCAGTAGTCGTGGAATATGTTTTTCATATCACTAGGGTGGTGAAACTCCATTATATATTCGCTTTCCACAACTCATGTCAGCAGTTACCCCATACAAATTCGGCCACAAATGCACAGAAACCACCAAAAATTTTCCAAAATTTTCCAAAAATTTCCATATTATTCCTTCTTAGAGGAAAGTCCTAGTAGACTTCGCTGCCAAAGTTACAGAAGCCGTGAAGCTTCTGTGAAGACTGATACGCTACGTTCGTACGCAAACTCAATGAGCGGAGCGAAGCGATTTTCTTTCCATGAAATAAAACACTCCTACACCTGTTTATATTTTCCCACACCTTTTACCCAGCTCCCCTGCCAGCCCCCAAATTAGCAGCAGCTAACTCCGCATGAACTAGCATTCTAATATCAAGAACCTTCATCAGATCATCAACTCGTTCATCAGTAACCTCCTGCACTGTAGTGGCCAACTGCAGCGACGATAGCGACAATTGCGAGCAACCTAAAATGATAAAATATCAACACACTTTGAAGTTTCACGTGAAGTGGCGTGACATTGTATTTGAAAAACGCGATATGAAGTAGTAAGTTGAAAACTCTTTGCGAATTACACCGAACATTTCACGTGAAATACGACACTTCTAACATACGTTTTTCACAAAGGGAAATGTGAAATATGTTATTCACTGGAGTTTCACGACCCGCTTCACGTGAAATGGCGTAAAACTCTGTGACAAGCGCGATATTTGCGGTGATATGCTGTAGTCGTGAAATATCTTTTTTCCTATCACTAGGGTGGTGAAACTCCATTAATAACAGCACTTACCAATGATCAACGCGGCCAAGCTCATCATACTCTCCTCATCACTTGATTTTAAATAGGAACTTATATGTGTCTGTGGCATACGTCCTATACCACTCGCTCAGCAAATCTCCTCACCAATGCCTCTGCTTCCAAACACTCACGCAGCTTGGCACTCATTACCCCAGGGGCATCACTCGACGAGGCGAGCAGCAACAGTAGACGCACGAAACTGAACAACCCCTATAAATTCGCTTTCACCAGTATCGAGTATTAGCGATATGAATTTTAGTGAATATTTTTCATATGAATATACTTTTTCTAGGTTGAAAGAATCGTTCGTGTATGGAGCGTGCTCTCCGCGTAAGAGCATGTTCTTATAACAAGAGAGGCATACACACCATAAGCAGCTGATAGTGGTTTGTTGCCACATAAATAAGGGCAGTAGACAATAGAAAAATCAAAATCATCACGTTTATCAAAAACATTTATGAATACTTTCTCAATGCTCAACATCGACGGTAGCATGTTGTTTTAAGGGTAGAAGTTTTATAAAATATCACCAACAAAGAGAAATTGTTATAACAAGACCATTATCCTATATTCATAACGTAATATAAGTGGAGTTTCACCGCCCTAGTGATATGAAAAACACTAGTGAAAAACATATTTCACAACTACTGCATATCACCGCGAATATCGCCGCGTTTTTCACAGAGTATCACCCCACTTCACGTAAAACTGGTGAAACTCAACTACATTAAAATTTAATACTCAGATATACCAATCTAACAATGGGGTTTCACGACTCGTTTCACGTGAAGTAGCTACGTAAAACTCGGTTAAAAACGCGATATTCGCGGTGATATGCAGTAGTCGTGAAATGTATATTTTTCACTAGTGTTTTTCATATCACTAGGGCGGTGAAATTCCATAATATCACTATCATTATCACTGAATATGAATATTCACACAAATTTGCACAAAACTCACATTTTCATTTAAAAACGCATGTACAGTCATTGAGATCAGTTCTTGCCCTCCCTCCCTCCCTTACGTGGCCCTGTCCATCGACGAAGTCTCCAATAGAGAGATCAGACGATCCTCAATAGCCACAACCATTTCTGCTAGACCGAACCTACACCAAGACAACTTCAATGTGAGTGACGCGAAATTCATGCGTAATTCCGTGCTATCCAAATTTTGACAAACTCAGCCATATACACATGCTATGATTAGCAATATTAAAAAAAGTTTTCGCTCTCCTCAGCTGAGCTCAGGAGTTTCGTCAGTCACCACACATATGAATTCGATGACAAGTACAGAAAAACACAAAATAAAAATCTCGCAAAACCCATATATTTACTCTCATACTACCCGTGCACCCTCGAAACTGCTTTCATCAACGGCAAGAGCTCTCCCTCAAGACTAGCACTGGGCAGGTACTCCACTACGCTTTCATGAAGTTTCACAAACTCAGAATCATACCACTGCGGTCCTCTCCCGTTCTCCCTTTCTAGTGCATTCACAAAGTCAGCAACTGGTGACACACTAGCTGTCACCATACCCCTTGAGCGCGGAAGTAAAAACGGCCGGGGTCCGAGCGTCAAAGCGGCCATTCTTCCTGACAATGTCGGTTGAAAAAGTCGCGCGATAGCTTCCATATAAGTACCCTTTTAAAAGCTGTGGGAGAGATGACAACGCAAAACAAAAAACCGATTCGCAGCTTGTTCCATTATTGGAGTTTCACCACCCTAGTGATATGAAAAACACTAGTGAAAAACATATTTTACGACTACTGCAGTATACCGCGAATATCGCAGAGTTTTTCACCGAGTATTACGCCACTTCACGTAAAACGGATGGTGAAACTCCAGTGAATGAACACTCAGCTAAAAAGGACCCCTCAAATACGTATGCGCAGAATTGACAACCGCATACGTCAAGCCATAGTATGCAGACAACCCACGCAAATGAAATCTTCCATACCACACCTCAAACTATCATTGCGTTCTACACTACGTGTCAATTTGATATGCAAATGTGTGTTATTTTAGAAGACAATTTATAGTGAACAAGTTGTCGCTATCATCACAGTCCCAAACGGGTACTTTCATCACAACACATGTTCATAGTCATTGTTACATTGTATATGCGGTGTGGTTTCACATTGATTCTCATCAACCTCGAAAAATGACGCACATTTGCATATCAAGTTGGCACGCACTGTATATCTATACTGCTATCACGACTACAACATTCTCCCCGAGAGGAACACCCGCTGTCGTTGAGTAGTTTAATATCAAAGAACTACTTTATTGGAGTCTCACCCGTTTTACGTGATGTGGCGTAATACTCTGTGAAAAACGCGATATTCGCGGTGATATGCAGTAGTCGTGAAATATATTTTTCACTACTGTTTTTCATATCACTAGAGTGGTGAAACTCTATTAAAAAGACCTGGAATGCAAATTCCAAAGTCGACCGAGGACCCAGACGACATTATAAATGGTATCACTTCATACATAGACGCAGCCTCAAATGGGAAGCTAATACCATCCAATAGAAACTCCTACCATTCTCAGTAACTCCACACCGTTATTATGCGAGAAACAGTGAGTAACATCAACGAAGAGCAGTAGAAGTAGTGGTGAGCACCATAGTCTATATTATGTCCATCACAGTTTACTAGACAACGCCTTCGATGCAGTTTGGGGGCTTTCTGAACAGCAAAAAACTATACCGATTTTCAATGAAGTTTCACCACCTTAGTTATATGAAAAACACTGGTGAAAAATATATTTCACGACTAATGCATAGTGTGAATGTCACGTTTCTCACCGTAAAACGGGTCGTGAAACTGCAATGTTGAAGTTTCTCACGTTTAACGTGAAGTGGTGTAATTTTCCATGTAAATTTACGACGCGAGAAAAGACTACTGTTTTCAGCCGAGTAAAATGTGAACTATTTATTCCACTTCTGTTTTCTCATATCACTAGGGTGAAACTCTAATACTACACCCCAGTGTGCGAAAATATGCACATGGTCAACTACATGTGTTGGTGACATTTGTGAAATTTCTGAGAAAAATTTGAGGAAATTCTTATTGGTTTCTCTACACTTCTACCCAAATTCGTATGTAAACTTCTATAATTAGTCGGAAAACTTCTGTTAGCAAACAAATATTCCAACACTGCTACCCTCACCGTTTAACAACTTCACCACCTCCTCAGCTGCTCGTGCGCCCGAATCCATAGCACCTAAAACATTACTCTATGTGGGAGGAAAAATGAGCACGTAGTAAACTACATAAGTATCAATGGAATTTCACCACCCTAGTGATATGAAAAACACCAGTGAAAAAACATATTTCACAACTACTACAGGCCGCGAATATCGCGTTTTTCACTGAGTTTTACGACGCCATTTCACGTAAAACGGGTTCACGTGAAACTCCAATAATACTACCGGCAGTTCGCTCTTTATAAACTCATACGTTCACATTCGTAAATTTTCATTCACGAATTCTCTAAACGTATTGGTATTACTTTCATAATATCGGCATTCCCATTTCACATCAGATATGTCAACACTGTGAAGAGGAAATATGCACATGTGTTGGTGACAATATGATACCATTTGAGAGGAAATTATCATTGGGATTGTTGTACGCAAGCGTCTCCTGTAGTTTTAGATTCTTGTGATACTTGTCCCCCTTGCTAGCCTAGCGTATACTTAATGATTACTGTATTGATCATTAGTGATGGTTTATATATGATATGGTTATTATTATATTATTTTCATCACTATATTATATTAACGTAAATATATTATGATATCAAGGATATAGATTTATAAGTAATATTTGATCACTATCATATATAATTACAATATTATATCATTAATACATGTTATATTTATTCAATTATATTTACTAGTGTTAGTAATTACCATAGATGAAACCATCATTAGATGGTATTTCTCTACATTTATATATAAACTTCAATTATCACTACGAAATGCAAACATATATTCCACCAACACTGGCAGTAGTAATACCACACCCTCCACATCTCTTACCATGCGCCGTCATATAGCACTCCGGATTCGCCGCCTCCCCAGCGAAATGAAGACTACCACCTACACTTCATAACAATATCAAAGTCAAATCGAGCTTAGTTGCTCAACAGCTCACTCCATATTGTGGAGCTGCGAGTGAGCGGCGAGCGATCGCT